CAACGAAGCATTGAGAAACCTTAGATACCTTGTGGACCAGCACGTGATCAGGTTATTTGAGTACTTGCAACGCCAGATGCTTCTCGCATCGTTTTGTCCGCTAGAACCACCTTGCACTCATGACGAGTCATACGTCAAAAAATTATGGTCATAATATGCTAGCACATTAGCGCGTCATAAGGAATTCAAGCACCATGGGAGTCGAAGCTCCCCCGGCCTACTTACATGATCATCCTATGCAGCTAGAGCAGAAGGGTGGTGCGACACGCCTTGAAATCCGTCTGGGAGGTGTAATTTGATATTTGCGATGTTATTTAGTTTATTTATTTTAATGTTGACGATTCTTCACGTAGAGAAAAGCCTCATCAATATTTTAGTAATGTTTTGATGTTTAAAGTCATGGAGCGAATAATGGACGCATGAAATAATAGCTTATCGCATAGGGTGCCTTTATGAGAAATTTTTTTCGTTTCACGTCGCGCTGGCTTCTTAAGATCGATATCTTTCGTGTTACTGCAAATGAAAATATTTTTTCCCGGTGCAATTTCTTCTCCGTATTGCATGGATGAAATATCTGGTGTTCGTTTCTCTCTTTACCCCATCCAAAGGGATTTTTTTGTATGCGGAGTGAGAAATGAATAGCTTAGATTGTTGTTAGTATCGATATTATCTGTAGATGTCGTATATCTGTGAGAACAGAGGGTCTTGTGCATTTAGGACTGAGATTAACGTTGATGGCGATACTACCTGTAGATGTATCTTTGGAATTCTTACCTTTTTGCCTATTTGAGCAATACATTGCAAAACTTATTGTAGGCTGATGAGCTTACAGCAGATAGTTCCCTGAGTTAGACCTCGACACTCTCAACAGTCAATAATCCCATTCTCAAACTTCTTACATTTACCTTAAACGCTTTTATTCTGAGCATTTTGCATCACCACAAGGAAAGTAGCCAAATGGATCACAGAGACGGTTTAAATTCACCTGCTCTCAGCACGGAAATCGAATGGAGATATGTGGGATCGACGATCGTGCAATTGCTGCATGTTAGTGATTGCATAATAATGAAATAAGCGGAATAGTTCTTCTGGCCGAAATGGCAGGTCTTATCCTACAGTAACTCGTCCTTTGAAGCTCAGGAACGACAGAATTGTCAACTACGTTGTGCCTTAAGATTAAAGTATCTGACTTTGTGTGACCGAGGAAAATTGTGGCCTCGTCAGAACGTAAATCACGAATTAGGTTAGAATGACACTCGTTATTCAAATGCGATCCTAAAACACCAATGAGGCACTTCGAACAGGTGGTTCACCACCATGAGATGCAGGATGCTGCGGATCTTTTTCTGGATTGGAGAGTTGTCACGCAAATGTCAATTTCTTCCTAATTTATTTTTGCTATAAATCAATACAGAATATGTATTTCTCGTAACTTTGTCTCGATGTAAATGGCTTTTGGGAGTGACTAAAAGTACTCATTTATTTTAAACTTTCAGCTTTCGGCACAGAAGTCATCATCAGGAAAAGTTTTCATAACACGAAGGTACAGCATATAATTCCAATACTGCAACTGTACAGTTTTTCGAGTATTTGGTAATGTTGAAATATAATGAGTACGTTTAAGTTATGCGTAATAGCGTTGTTAAATATAGAACCTGCTGATTACCAAATGACAGCCTGTATGTATTTATAACCATTGCTCATGAAAAGACTGAAAATTCATCAGTCGAATCACTGTTTCTGTATGATTCGAGCTACTGCCTTGAACAGTGAGTGAGAAAGTTCCGGTTTACGTGAAATCACATGCCGCAGGGGTTTCCCCGCCGTGAACGTCCTATTACGGCTGTTGTGTGCAATTGTATATGGATCACAATTTCTTGAATGATCCTCAGTTCCTGATGCCATAATTACACAGTAATATTACTCACTTTAAGACTATAGTGCGACAGTGTGAGGCACCAGATAATCATTGCACCAGATATGCCGAGGAATGCACCGTCTCTTGCTTCTAGTCGCCTAAGGGCACCATTTAAGTAAACCACAAATCAGTAGTTTTTTAAGCTCCTGCATTGCACAGGACAAAAGATCGCATCACTGAGTTGCGCTGAGCAATAACTTGATTGAGCAGTAACACACTTACCACCATTCGTTGACGAAATGTCCGGAAAATGAGGGAAAGAACCCTGCGATAGTCATTCTTTCATTTCCTTGCATGAATTATTAATTTACAACAGGATTTTAATTAGCTATAGTACGCTTATTGGTTAACTTTAATATACATACAACTTCTGCAAAATTTCAACATTAAAACGACGCGAAACATCCAGAAACCGTGCACTGTACAGTGCCAGTAAATTTTGCCATGGTCAAAGCGGCCAGCCGTACGCCACGTTTTCCCGTACGGCAGACGACAGTTTCGAATAATTTCGAATAATCACATTTCATTCGACCTCCTCCTGTCTCGATGCAATTTTGAGGTGTACCGAGAAGCAGCTCGTCCACAATTACACTCGTTGAACTTCGGCGTCAGGCGCCATGACGACGGACGAGGGACTTCGCGATTGTGATTTACTCTTCGGCGAAATCAACATCGCCTCAGCCTCCCCGGTCGTCGAGTTCGTAGAGGAGCTGGTGGGCAGGTCGACTGCCTTCATGCTGCTCAGCTTCTGAGACTGCCGCCATTTCATTCGACGGTTCTGAAACCAAATCTTTACCTAAACAAAAACATTTTATTTTAAATTAAAATCAGTGTCGTGGGCAGCTTCTGAATGTGTCAATTTATACAACCCAGTACATTGGGCATACTGTACGTCCTGCAAACCAGTGTGAGATGAATTTTACTGTACGCTTATGATTCTTAATCACTGCTCACGAAAGACGTCAGGAATTTCGAAGTGTTCGACCACTGGTCCTGCTACAAGTGTATTCCCTCGATACAGCATCTATCGCAATGTTGCCATTTTCTCAAGTGTCGCCCACCATCGCCGGCCGCGTTGACTTGGACAACGAAAAGCTCATGATAAGAGTGTGGAGTTCACACGGAGTTGGCCAAAT